CACGTGTTCATCTGCTTCTGCACGACCAGAAGCCTAGATGGTACTGGATGTCATAACTGCAAGTCTGTGAGACTCTGGAAATTATCTTTTCTTTTTTTAAGCACAGCCGTTTCAGGTAAAAGAGAACCATCAGAAATTTTGGAAAATGCTGCTTTTCTTCTTCCTTCTAGAAGGAAAAAGATTTTTCTCCAACAGTCAACACTTGTGACGTGATAGGGTTCCTGCAGGCAAAACTTTAAAAAATTCTGTAGACCCTTCTACAGATAGGTCTCCTGACATTTCTAATCCTGGAATTTGTCCACTTCAACCTCTAGCAGCTAAATTGTGTTATCTTTTCCTGTAGTGAGATTTATCCTAGAGGTACTTTTTGTGCTTGTTTGAGTTTCTGAGTCCTTTAAAAATCTTACTTCCTTACTGTCTTCTGTGAAAAGACAGATAAGTTTTTAAAACTTAGGTGACTGACAAGTAATAGCTCATAATTTTCTAAAATCTTTTCTCTATCAAGAGAGAAATAAAAGTACACTTTGTCACAGTCAACCTGTGGAGAGATTGTTTCAGTATTTTTCTTTTCTGCATGACAAGATGCAGTCAGGAAGTGATATAGTGAGTTAGGGAATGGGCCAGGCTTATGGCTATAATCCAGAAGAGAGTTGGGAGAACACTTAGTCTTCTACCAAATCCTTCTTTATTCTCAGTTTCCTAGAACATTACCAATATGCTGATATCGTTAGAGGTAGCAAAGTATTTTTTTAAAACGTAAAACTTTCATTGTAGTGGAGTCAGAACCAATGCAGAGCTGACCCTGTAGTGGGTTTTCTGAGGTTCTGAATCACAAAGGAATCACCTGCCCGGTTTTGACTGCTGATGTTGAGCTTCTCTAACAGTTCCTTCCCCCGATGTAGTCAGTCTGATTCCTGTGCAGTCCATCTGGTGTGGTTCATGCGTACGGTGAGGGTTACTGTCTGAGTTTTTTAAAAAGGTATTTACAGTGAGTAAATCTTTGAACATGGAAAATTCAGTCAATTTCCAACTTCATTTCTGTTTTCAAGTCTGTGCTTTCTAAATACTATTCTGTCTTCATTGATTCCAGCTTGTGCATTCCAGTCACGAATTATCTTGATTGTGTGTTTGGTCAATTTTTAACTCTAAATTTTCATTAAAATCTTCAATTTCCTCATCTTTGGCTTGAGCTCTTGGTGCATATATTTGAATAATAGTGGTAGTCACAGATCTTCCTCTTATGTGTATGGATAATATCCTATCTATCACTTACAACATTGTACTTTGGGATAGAACTTGAAAATTGTCTTTTTACTATGAATGCAACACCATTCTTCTGTTTTTCATTCCTCATAGAGAGGAACAAGGATATTACAGTATTGTAGGTAGAGATCGTTCTAATGCGAAACTTATACCTGGACCAGGAGGCAGTTGTCAGAACAGAGCAAGGGAACACTGACTGCATGGTTCAAAATTGGGAAGGGCATACGCCAAGGATGCATCCTATCTCCATACCTTTTCAACCTATATGCAGAACAGATTATCTGGGAGGCTGGGCTCTATGAGGAGAAATGTGGGGTGAAGATTGGTGGACGATTTATCAACAACCTGTGTTATGCAGATGACACTACCCTGCTTGCTGAAACTGAAGAGGACCTGAAGCGCCTGCTGCAGAGTGTCAAGGACTGCAGCCTACAATATGGATTGAGACTAATGTCAAGAAGACAAA